GGAAAAGACCCAACCAAAAAAAGAACTATAGGCCAATCTCCCAAATGAACACAGATGCAAAAATCCTCAAAAAGATACTGGCAAACAGAATACAGAGGATTATCAAGAAGATCATACACTCTGACCAAGTCAGATTGACCCCAGGGATGCAAGGATGATTCAACATACATAAATCAATAAATGTAATATATCATACAGAATCAAGGACAAAAACCACAGGATCATCTCAATAGATGCAGAAAAAAATCATTTGACAAAATTTAACACCCATTCATTATAAAAACCCTATAGAAAACTGAAATACATGGTCTTTATCTCAACCTGATAAAGGGTAAGTGAAAAACCAACAGCAAATACCATACTAAATGGCCAGAAACTGAAAACCTTCACTCTGAAATCAGGAACAAGACAAGGACATCCACTATCACCACTCCTTTTCAATATAGTTCTAGAAACATTAGTCAAGGCAATTAGATAAGAGAAAGAAACAAAAGCAATAAAGATAGGAAAGGAAGAAGTGAAACTATCATTATTTGCTGATAATATGATACTCTACATAGAAGACCCAAAAACTCTGCCAGAATATGTCTAGACTTAATTGACAGATGTAGTAGAGTAGCTGGATACAAGGTCAACACTCAAAAATCAATAACCTTATACACAAATAACAGATTCACTGAGAGAGAAATTAGGGAAACAATTCCTTTCACAATAACATCCAAAAAAATGAAATATCTAGGAAGCAATCTAATGAAGGAGACAAAAGATCTTTACACTGAAAATTTCAGTACTTTGAAAACAGAGACAGAAGAGGATATGAGAAGATGGAAAGACATCCCTTGCTCCTGGGTAGGAAGAATCAACATAGTGAAAGTAGCCATACTTCCAAAATTGCTGTACAGGTTCAATGCAATCCCGATTGAAATCCCAACAGTATATTTCACAGAACTTGAGAAAACAATCTAAAAACTCATTTAGAACCAGAAGAGACCCAGTATAGCAAAAACCATTCTAGGCAACAGAGACATGGCAGGGAGTATCACAATTTCCAACTTGAAACTGTACTACAAAGCCACCATGATAAAAACAGCATGGTACTGGCAAAGAAACAGCTTTGATCAGTGGAATGGATTAGAAGATGCAGAAACAACTCCAGACATACTCAGCTACCTCATCTTTGACAAAGGAGCCAACCATCCTCACTGAAGGAAAGAGAGCCTCTTTAATAAATGGTGTTGGAAAAAATGGCTTTCAACTTGCCAAAGATTAAAAGTAGATCCCTATCTTTCACCATGCACTAAACTAAAATCCAAGTGGATTAAAGATCTAAATATCAAAACAGAAACACTAAATGTATTGGAAAGTAAATTAGGTAGAACTCTCGAAGACATTGGCATAGAAGACTTAATGACAAATCCTCAGCAGCACAAGAACTTGCACATAAAACCAACCTGGGACCTCATTGTATTAAGAGGTTTTTGCAGTGCGAGAGAAACCACCAACAGAGCTAAGAGACAACCTATAATGTGGGAAAAAAATTTTTTACCAGCTGCTCCTCAAAGGACTACTATCTAAAATATATAAAGAACTCAAAAAAATCAGACCCCTCCCCAAATACAAAGACCCAATTCAAAAATGGGTATCTGAAATGAACAGACATTTCTCAGACAAGTGAAAGCAGCAAATAAATATATGAAAAAATGTTCCACATCACTGGTCATTCTAGAGATGCAGATGAAAACAACCCTGAGATTCCACCTCATCCCAGAAAGAAAGGCTGCTATCAAGAAATCAACCAATAACAAATGTTAGCAGGCCTGTAGGGAGAAAAGGAAACCTTCCCCATTGTTGGTGGGAGTGCAGACTGGTGCAACCACTGTGGAAATCAGTATGCAGATACCTCAAAGAACTAGGATTAGAGGTTCCATTTGACCCAGTTATCTCTCTGCTGGGTATTTTTCCAAAGGAATTAAAAGAATCATACCACAGTGATATATGTGCACCCATGTTTATAGGGGCACAGTTTGTAACAGCTAAAACTTGGAAATAACCCAAATGCCCATCAACTGGAGACTGGATAAAGATGTGGTTTTCTATAAAATGGAGTACTACTCAGCCATAAAGAATGAGAAACTAGAGACATTCGTAGCTAAATGGATGCATATTGAGGACATACTCTCAAGTGAAATAAATAGGACACACTTGAGTAAATACTGAATAATTTCTCTGGTTTGAAAAACAAAGTGTAAATAAGGTTCAAATGTATAACCAAGAGTGTGAAATAGGAAGAAAATGGCTAAAGAGGAAGTGGGAAGGGGAGAGGAAAGGAAATAAGGGAAAAGAAAAAATGTGAAAAAAGTAAAAAATGGAAACAAAGTCTTTGTAAATAGGGAAAGGTTAAGAGGGTGAAGGGAGGACAGAGTTATGGAGAAAAAATAAGAATCAAGACATATTATGTAAAAGTACAAGATCCCAATGATAAATGTAACTATTGTTTGCTTTAAATGTACCAATAATCTTAATGGGGAAAAAATTTCTGTGCATCAGAGACATTATCAAGGAAGTAAAAGCCAACTCACAGAAAGTGAAAGACAATTCATTACATAAGGTAAGAAAATAGCATTCAGAGAAAGAACTATAATGTAATAATAACATGACCATTTGATTTAAAAATGGGGAATGATCCAAATAGATAAAAGGAGATATATACAAATACAGAACAACTAAGTACACAAAAAGATGTTAGTCATTAGTACATCATTAGTCATTAGGGAAATGCATGTAGAAACCATAATAAGATGGAGTCATTCATAGGAAAATGGGTACATACTGAGAATATACTCCTAAGTGAAATAAATAAGTCACACATGTATAAATACCAAATAGTAAAAAAAAAAAAAAAAAAAAAAGAAAGAAAGAAGGGCTGGGGATTTAGCTCAGTGGTTCTGCTGTCTGCCTTGCAAGCAAAGGACCCAAGTTCGATCCCTGGTACAAAAAAGAAAAATAGTTTCTCCGGTGAGAAAAACGATAATGGCACGTAAGATCCTAATGATATAATTGACAATGTGAAATAGGAAGAAAAGGGCTAAGGGTGTAGGGGAAGTTGGAAAGGTAGGGGAAAGGTAATAAGGGAAAAGAAAAAAATGAGAAAATGAAAAAATGGAAATAAAGTATTTGTAAATAGGGAAGGGAGGAGGAGATGAAGGGAAGGCAGGGACAAGGGAAAACAATGAGAACCAAGACCTGTCATGTAAAGGTACAAGATCCCAATGATGAATGTATACCTAAAAAGTACCAATAAACTCAACGAGGAAAAAAAAAAGATGCAACTTCATGACAGCTAGAATGGTCATATGTATTTTTTCATATACATAAGTTCTATTTTTTTGCCAGACACCATGACACATGCCTTGCATTTGCGAGGCTGAGGCATGAGGATCACAAGTTTGAAGCCAACCTGAACTACTACATTCCAAAAACCAAACAAGCCAAAACCCCACAAAGTTCTATTTATTAAAATAGGGAAGGCTGGGAATTTAGCTCAGTGGTGCCACGGCCTGCCTCACAAGCACACAGTCCAGAGTTCAATCCCTGGTACAAAAAAAAAGAGGAAAATAACAAGTATTGGTGAGGATTTGCAGAAATTGAAACCTTTATATATTGCTGATAGGAATGTAAAATTATGCAGTCATTATCGAACAGTGTGACAGTTCTTCAAAATGTAAATCATAAAATTACCATATGATCCAGAAAATTGGGTCATATAGTCAAGAGAATTAAAAACATATCCACACTAAAATTTGAACATGAAGCTGGTCATACATGCCTGTAATTCCTGCACTCAGGAAGCTGAAACAAGAAGAATGTCATGAATTTGAAGCTAACTTGGACCACAAAGTGAGACCCCATCTCAAAAAAGAAAAGAAAAACCCACCTTGTACATGAATAAATGTTCATAGCCATATTATTTTTGTAATAGCCAGAAAGGGGGAAAAAACTCAAATGCCCATCAACTAGAGAATGGAGAAACAAAATTTAGTATATCCATGTGTTGTGTATCCCCTAAAATTCAATGTAGAAGCCCTAAATATTAAGGAGACTGTATTTGACAAGGCTTTAAATCATGTGATTTTGACAATACTTTCCAGTTTCACAACTTCATCCGTGGGAACTGAGGTCTAGATTAATGATCTAAAGGTTCTCCTGAAGTTATGCTGTCCACTAGGCACTAGTAATGTGTGGCTATTTAAATTTAATTAAAATTAAATAGGGCTGGGGATTTAGCTCAGTGGTATAGTGCCTGCCTGGCAAGCATCAGGTCCTGAGTTTGACCCCTGGTACAAAAATCAATCAATCAGTTAATTAAACCAGGTATGGTTGTTCACACCTGTAATCCCAGCAATCAGGAGGCTAAGGAGGAGGCTCACCAAGAGCTGGAAGCCCACCTGGGCTAAATAGTGAGTTTAAGGGCAGCCTGAACTACATAGCAAGACCGTCTCAAAAAACCTAAATAGCTGGGGGTTTAGCTCAGCAGTTCAGTGGCCTGCCTTGCGAAGCGCAAGGGCTCAAGTTCTAATCCCCAGTACCGAAAAAAAAAACCTAAATAAATAAATCTTTAAAATTAAATAAAATTTAGTTCCTCTATTATAATAGCCACATCTTAAGTGTACTATAGCTACAAGTGACTGCAACACCGGACAGCACAGGAGTGAATCAGTTCTGTCGACTCCAAAGGCTATGTCACATACCTTTGCGCTCAATATTTTTCCATTTCCTTATGCTGGGTACCACGAGGTATCACCATCCTGGAAAGACATTTTAAAAAAAAAACTCTCAGTTTGAGGAGTTTATTTGGAAGCATGCAATGGTATAAAACTATGCTGCGAAGATAAATGAAGCCTTGCTTGAGATTACAGAGTATCCAAGGGAACTTTTTTGCCACACCATTGATGTGCATCAGAAGACATTCATGGATAAAAATATTCTGTTCCTTTGCTCAGATGATGAGAGTAATTTTGGAACCACCAGACTGGATATGGAAAGTCCCTGTGTGCTGAATGAACCACATCCTTTGGTGTTACCACGAGTGCCACAGTCTAAGATGCTGTCCATTACCTCAAATCTGGTAAGTGCCAGAGGAGACTTAGGATGTTCTTACAGAGGAAAATATGCTCAGAGAGTACTTTGTATCACTCAGTATTCTTTAGTACATTTATGTGTTTATTATGATAACCCAATGGTTCTTTGCAATGATCAGTTTCAGTTTAATAGCAAATTAAGGTTGATAAATCTTAGCTCTTTGGAAGAGGCATCTGTAAGTTATGCAATCTAGATTCAACTATGTGGTCAGCCTGAGTCCATTTTGGGAAGAATTAAGGATACAGTCATGAAGAAAAGAGGGGCTAATAACAGATTTTCTGTGGTTTTAACAGCTGCCTCTTAAACTCCTTTTTGTCTTTTTTTCTTCTCTTAACTCACTCTATACTTTTTTGTACTTTAATATTTGAATAACATTTTTGTCTTTGGATGTTTACCTTATAGCCAATATATAAAAAGCAAGCCAAGGAGAAGAGAAAACCTACCTAAAGCAAATATATGAACAAGGACAAGGTTAACTATTTCTTGCAGGAGGCAATGAGCTTGGTCTCATCCCTGTATGATTTATGTAGTCCAATTTCCTACAGGATGGTTTTCCTAGCCTTACTTATGGGGAAAAGAAAGGCACAGGGAGAAAAAAAATTTCATCTTTGGGCCATACTCATCAACCCTCGGTTTTACTACCATATTTAGTCCTGAGCTTTGTTGGTATATTGGCCAGATAGTATATAGGTGGATTCATAAAAGAGGTATTAAAAATAAAATCACTGGGCTGGGATTTAGCTCAGTGGTACCACTGCCTGCCTTGCAAGTGCAAGCAACGTCCCAAGTTTGATACCCGGTACCAAAAATTTAAAAAAATAAATAAAATAAAATCACTACGGTTCATAACCCACCACATCAGGAATGAAACAGGCAAACCAGTGCTCCTTTGGTGGTGATCAAGCTCTCTGAACTAGTCTGGCTGTGGTTTAGATAGCCTTCATCCTGCATGTCTAACGAGATGGTTCTAGTTGCATAATGACCAAAGGATGGAGAAAGATTAATTCAAACATTCTTGGAAAAAGAGAAGGAAAATACACTCAGTTGCAGAGGAGGAGATGGCCAGAAAAGGCACTAAAGTCAGAGAAAAAACAAGCAGGGTTCTAGAGTGGTCATGCCAATCCAAGTAATCTTAAATCCTGATAGCCTAAGAATAAATAAGACTAATTCCTAATAAACAGTCTTCAGGATTTAGGTGATCACGGCAGGGACAGCAGTATATGCCTATAGTTCCAGGCAACAAGGAAGCTGAGACAGAAGAATTATTTGAGCCCAGGACGTTGAGACCAGCCTGGGCAATTTAACAAAATGCCATCTCAAAACAAACAAACAAAAATAAAACCAGGATTTAGGTTATTGCTGAGAGCTGACTGCTCCTGCAATAGTAAAAGAAAGGGGGTTAAATTTGTATACAGTTCAGGTTTAACCTGTAGTTGTAGCCCAGGAGTTAAGGTGCTGGATTTGAGTTCAGGAGTTTCCACTTGTTTTATTTCTATTATTGTTCCCTATTTTATTTGTGAATTTTCTACTTAGGTTTTGTTTTTTATAGTATGTAAACACTACCACAATGGTCCTCTCTCTTCTATGAGAGTGGCTGTTGATGGCTCTCATTTAGCTTCATAGGATGTCTCCAACCTGCGGTCATTTAGACACAGAAGAAAAAAGGGCCCTATCCTCAGTTAGGACTACAGTTAAGATGCTGTAAAAGTTAAGGCACAGAGGGCCAGGGATTTAGCTCAGTTGTTCCACTGCCTGCCTTCCAGGTGCAAGGACCTGAGTTCAATCCCCCATACAAAAAAAAAAAAAAAAATTAAGGCACAGAGGGAAAATGTATAAATGACCTAATAAGAAATACTAAGGCCTAGCAAAGTTGGGAAATCAAGCAGATATTTTAACCAACCAATAATGAGTAACATCTTCTTTTGACATTTAGATGAGTTTCTGTCAAGCAAGTGGTCACCAGCCAAATGTGAATGGTCTCTTGGTTCATGGGATGCCTCTACAGCCAAGAAATCTCTCCCTAATGGACAAGCTCCTGTAAGAAGTATAAAATTTTAAGACTATAAGTCTAAATCAATCACAAAGAAAGAAAAAGCAAAATCAGTTAATCACCATGATTTCCTCAGTAACTACCAAGGAACCACAGATATACCCAGGGTGTAAAACATCCAAAGGAGTCTCCACTTGCAGGGAGCTGATAACTGAAAAGACAGATATGGGTTAAAGAGACCTAACTAAAAGGGTATGTTAGTGACTAAGTGCCAAATGAGTGCCACATAGAGTAAATGCTATGGCAGCCCCAGAGAGGAGGCATTTTGATGGGTAAGTGTAGAAAGGGTTTGGATTAGCAGAGAAAAGCAACAAGGCCATTCTAGGCAGAAAGAAAAGTGTTGGCAAAGGTTTGGAAATGGGAAAATACTAAACATTTAAGGGAGACTATTTTGCCACAGTAGGATAAGGAGACATCAAAACTTTAATACTTCTGATGAAATATCACTGACAAATTTCTAGAATTAAAGTAGGCCATGGTATGATTAGTGGGAAGGAGACTATGAAACTAATAAATACTACGACCAGGTTTTGACCGCCATGTTTGTTTTTGGTACTGGGGATTGAACTTGGGACCTTATGCTTGCAAGGCAGGTGGTGGAAGCACTGAGCTAAAATACCTGGCCTGAACACCATATTTTTGAGAATCATCCTTCCCACTGTACATGACCTCTCTTGCTTAGCTTTCCACTGTGAGAATACATTGCAATTTGTGCTCCTGTTAACATGAGGATTGTTTCCAGGTTGGGGTTATTATGCAGAAAAGCAGTATAAATATTCTTGCATAGTCCTTTTTTGCAGACATAAGGTCACATTTCCTTTGGGTTAATACCTAGAAGTGAAAGGGTGATAGGGCAGGTTTGTGTTTCCTTTTATAGGGAAGTGCCATACAACTTCCCAGAGTTGTTATACCATTGCACATTCCTACCAGCAATGCTAGTTTCAGTTGGGGAGCACATATATTTAAATCAGGAATTGAAAGATTTCACATCAATGAAATATAGACTGGATTGCAGTAGGAAGAATTACAAGTCAGGCATGTACACAGGGGTTGGGTCTGCACTTAAGCAGCGGCACAGGACAGGAAAAAAATGAACTTGAGCTAATTATAAAAGAAATAAAATTAGAAACAAGAATCAAAAGTTCAAGGGAAACTGTTTTTCAGGAAATGATGAGTTTTGGGGGCTTTGTTACAGTGATGGGCCATCTAAGGGGAAATGTGGAAGAGATCAGAGTTGGAGACTGATCTGAAAGTCACCTGGCTAGAGATAATAATCGAACCCAGAATCATGAGAAACTCACAGAATAAAGATGAACATAGGGCAGCTAAAGCCCAAACCTTTTGCAATTAAAAAGCAGTGATCCAAGTTTGAAAAAAAAAAAAAAAAGGCACAAGTACGTGAATGATTGGAGGCAGGAAGACAAGAAAGGTCTCTTGTCATTCTCAAGGTTTGGGCCTATTCCTTGATGGGCATTTTCCCTTCAAAGTCCTCCAAACCTGAAGCATGTTTTGTGCTCAAAGACAACAAAATGGCCTGAAAAGCTGAGGAGCTTGCTGAAAGTTGCATGAACAGGCAGCAAAGCTTAGATGCTTTATTCTTTTAACTTTCCCTCCATTTCACTGGGCAAATACTGTCTCTTAGATGTCATACAACAGTCACCTTCTCATGTGTTTTAAGAAACAGAAACAGGGCTGAGGGTTTAGCTCAGTGGTTCCACCTCCTGTCTCACAAGCGCAAGGTCCTCAGTTCAATCCCCGGTACCATTAAAAAAAAAAGAAAAACAAACAGAGGAAATCCCCAAACCTGTAAGGGAGTGTTTAAGATACTGAACTGTTAAGCACGGTATTCTATCAGAGCATTTGCAAAAGAGATGTATTTCTCAAATGTTTATGCAAATGTGATCTACTGTAGTGTCATTGTCCTGGGCAGCCCCCACACACCCTTCCCCTACTCCCAGTTTTCCAATTATCCTGGCGCCAGACCCTGTGGAATTGCTGACTCAAACCTATTTTTATGACTGACACAGTGTCCTTTTAAGCCTAGATTTTCATGGCTGTGCTCTAGATTTTTTTTTTTTTCTGGAGACTGTTACTTACTGAAAGGTTTCTATTTTTGTTTTCTCATCTAAATATTTTAGAAAAAGGGTGTTTGATCTGGAGACTAAGTTACTTACTGAAAGGTTTCTATTTTTGTTTTCTCATCTAAATATTTTAGAAAAAGGGTGTTTGCCCTGTGAGTCTTATCTTCCTGTGCATAATAATCTTTATTTCATTATGGGTTTTTGATTTGGCCACTAGAGATCTTGATGACAAGCTACTTATGAGGCCTGGGTCCAGTACCATCCTTCCAACTCGAAACTGGTCAAACCGAGCCCTGGAGCTTGGCACATCATCTATGTTACATACTGTACAGTCTGCCAGGAGACGTAATCCCCCACCACGTACCCTTCATCCGATCGGCACAAGCCATTCCCGCACTGGAACTCCAAGACCTGCGGAAGAAATTCTCAGAGGATCCCGAGCGTAGGTTTTAAAAACAGAATTTCCACATTATGGTAAAACTAATGAATTTTACATACAGAATATGAAATCTATGCCTAAACTATTCACTAAGCTATCATATGATGGATTCTCTCATGGTTTAGAGGAGGGGGGTACCAGGAATCAAACTCTGGACCTTGCATTTGCCAGGCGAGAGCTGTGCTGCTGAGCTAAGCCCCCAGCCCTGAAAAATTTTTAAGTAGGGTTAAAGTTTAATGAAATAGATACTGGGTGTATTGATTTGGCTTAAGATTTCTATAACTGAAATATGTGACACTAATTTTCCAAAATCCTTTGAGATCCCTTAAAAAATACAGGTAGCATAAAGCTTTCTGTGTACATTTAAGCTCCTCTGTTTCCTAATCCATTTGCTTGTATTATTCAACTTCATGCTTTTGCATCTCGGTGTTTGCTGGTGGATCTGCAGCCCAGTGGCAGCCAACTCATTCTCTCCCTCGCCAATGCCCTTGGGTCGAAATAATCTGCTGCCACCTATTGACACAGCTGAAGTGGAGTATCTGAGCACTGCGAGGCCACAAAGGCAATCGGTAAGTCTCTCAGTGCCTCTCCATGTCCTTACTGTAAACCTCAAGGGCAGTCATCCTGCAGTATTTGTGCTCTGGTCTTCATTTACTGTGCTGTCAAAAGTACAAACTGAGTTCTAATTTACAACAGTGGAATCAGAGCTGCTTGACCTGCAGGTACTAGGTTGATGGCAGACACATGCAGCTCCCACTAGTCTTAAGTCACTCGTCTCCTTTACAGAAACCCCATGCCCAAGGGGATCCCAGTCGAGCTAGAAGTGCAATGATAGACGAACCTACCCACCAGCAGCCCCTGGAGAGGATTCTTTTACCTGACTTCTCCAGACCCAACACAACTCAGTCATTTCTGGTAAAGGGATATGCTTCTTATTGGCTCTTGATAGCTGGGGAAAGTAGGGACCTAGTTTGTGAGACCTAACTTGATCTAGAGGCTTACCTCCAAGATAAAAGTTGCAGTTCCAATGACAGAAAATAGCATTCTAAGTATGTTTTTGATGAAATTTTACTTGGTCCCTGCTCATTTTTTGGTCAGACATAAATTATAAGCCATTTAAATATTTCTGAGCACAAGCAAAAATGATAAAACCCCATGTGTATTAGATGACCCTGACTTCCTGTCCACCCTGCTCTTGTGGGATTACACAAAAAACTGTTATCAGACTAAGGAGACTGGTGGAAGTTAGGACTTTTTCCTACTGGTGTTTAAAGGCTGTACAGTCACTCTTGCTTTTACTTTTTTTTTTTTTTTCTGGGTTTTTTGAGACAGGGTCTCACTATGTAGTTGAGATTGACCTGAAACTCACTATGTAGTCCAGGCTGGTCTCGAACTCACAGTGATCCTCCTGCCTCAGCCTCCTGAGTGCTGGGATTACAGGCATGTGTCACCATGCCCGGCTCTTGCTTTTAGTTTTGTTTATTTATTGGTAGCTGGGATTGAATTCGGGTCCTTGTGCTTGCAAGGCAGGCCACCAAACCACTGAGCTAAATCCCCGGCCCCCCTTTTTTTATGTTTGGTGGTTGTTGTTGCTTTTACTTTTAAACAAGACAGAAGAAACCTGACTGGGAGCCTGGGGGCCTCACACTGACCTTGCCCAGCTGTATATCAGGGGTGCAGCCCCACCTCATCTGCTCTGTGGCAAGGCTTGGCTTGTGGAGCTAGGGAAGTGACTGGTCACAGTGCCCCCCAGACCAAAGGCCACACACAGTGCACTAGTTTTCAGAATGGTGGTAGTAGTAGTCTATTTACCCCAACTCATGACCCTTCAATTATGTCCGCCTAAAGTACTGTACAGTCTTCCTTTGGTTAAAAATGGTGAGAATAACATATGGATGGGCCTTTGTGTTAGTTTTCCAGCACTGCTGTAACAATTGACCACAAACTAGATGTCATAAAACAAATTTATTCTCATAGTTCCAGAAGCTGAAGTCCAAAACCAAGGTTTTGGCAAAGCCATGCTCCTTCTGCAGACTCTGGAGAATCTCTCCATGCTTCTGGTAGTTGCTTTCTTGGCTTGCAACTTCATCACTCCAAAGTTCACCTCATCTTCATGTGGCCTACCCTGTGTGCTTGTGTCCAAGTTTTCCTTTTCTTATAGGTACAGTCACTAAACTCAGGATCCACCCTAATCCAGTAAGACTTCACCATCACCATCTTTTTTCTTTTGAGACAGAATCTTGCTTTGTAGTCCTGGCTTGGGTCTTGAATTCACTATGCAGCCCAGGCTGGCCTTGAACTAGTAGCAATCCTCCTGTCTCAGCCTCCTGAGTGCTGGGATTACAAGCATGTGCCACCATTCCCAGCAACTTCACCATAATTTGATTAGACCTACAGAGACCCTATTTCCAAATATACCATTCACAGGTGGCCATGAATTTGGGGGTATACTATTAAACCCAGTAGACCTCCTGAGGTTTGATGAAGAAAGACACTCAATGAAAACAAGGGCAGAAATGCAAGCATTTCTGATTTCTTAAACCCCAGAAAGACTGAGAACATCTATTGAACTGATCATCTCTTAATTTGATCCAGGACATGTTAAACAATGTTGATTATATTCTATCACTATACTTTCAAAAGTTAATTATGGCTGCCTCAAAAATAAAAGCAGGCCCATGAAAATCTTTCAAAGTCTGTCTTTTTGAAATAAATTTCTAACAATAACAAAGTAAAAACTGTATATCCTAGCCATTTTTCTCCCTGTTTGCTCTCATAAAAAGGAAGATAAGCTAATAGTTCAATTTAATTAAGAGTATTGGTTCTCCCAGCACTGGAGAAGAAAAACAAAAAGCTAGCTAGCTGAGTCCCAGGGCCTGGTGTCACAGACTAGTATTCTGCCAGTAGGCCCATCAATGCTTTCTGTAGGATAAGGATCAGTAAACTACAGTACATGAATTTTTCAACCTATCACCTGTTTTTGTAAATAGAGCTTTAGTGAAGCACAACCACCAAGCTAATTGGTCTACAGCTACTTTCACATGATAGCAAAATTAATTTGTTTCCATAACCACCATATGGCCCACAAAGGCTATGATATTAAATATCTGGCCTGTCACAAAAAGTAAGTTTGCTAAACCATAATTTCTAGAATGTGTGGCTTCACTAAAAAAATTTTTTCCCTTACATCCCCCACCAGTGCTCTAATGAGGCATTAGGGGATTTTTTTAAATCCCAGAAGCACAACAGAATGGCGTATTTCCTTTTTATTTCATAAAGCTAACAGTATATAAAGTTAAATTTCAATACGTGGTAAAATCGTATCACTGCTACTGAAAAGGTAGGTTGTCGTAAGAAATCAGGTAAAATTTCCTTGGAAGCTAACTGAAATATTGAATCATACAGATTGCTAAATTTTCTTAAAGGCATAGTAATAAAATTGTAGAATGTGTAATTTTTACAAGTTAGCAGATCTCTTTGGCCATCTTTTTCTTCAGAACTCTACACAGTGCCCTCAGATGACTTTTCTCTCAGGTTGACAGATACCCTTTTCATTGTTGCCAATTTCAACCTTTTCCTTTGTAATCCTGAACTATTACCCTTTGGGAAAAGTAGCATTATAAAATGTGCCTCTCCTCTTCTTTTAGCCAGATACAAAGTATCATCAGGCATGCACAGTTGAGTATCCTCATCAGGCCCGACCTGGTAGGGGAGCCACAGGTACAGGTGGGGCTACGACTCTATTTCACTATTCTGGTTAAGACCCTGCCTTCATTTTTTTTCCTCTCCCTTTCCCTACTTATCTTCCCTCCTTCCATATTTTCTTGTATTTAGTTTTCTTACATCTGTGTAAATCACCTAAATTCATTTTGGAAGATGGGGTATAAGAGTTCAATTTCTCAAACTTGTTTTATGATGGTCTTTTTTTTCCCCCTGGTACCAGGAGGATCAAACTTAGGACCTTGTGCTTGCCTGGCGCCACTGAGCTAAACCCCCAGGAGTTCGACTTGTTTTTTTCATACCATGTAAACTAATCTTTCACTGCTCTGGTAAACTTCAATTTTTTTTTTAAATCTGAAAATGTGAGCCAGGGATTTAGCTCAGTGGTTCCATCGCCTGCCTCGCAAGCACAAGGACCCAAGTTCAATCCCTGGTACCACAAATAAATAAATGTGAGTGAAATGTCATATTTGTAACATTTAAAATATTCTTCCAATAAACTCAATAAAAATAAAAAATAAGTAAAATAAAATATTCTTTAAGGGCTGGGGATTTAGCTCAGTGGTTCTGCTGCCTGCCTTGCAAGTGCAAGTACCTGAGTTTGATCCCGGTACCAAAAATAAATAAATAAAATAAAATATTCTTTAAGAATACAGCATGGGTTTTATTATGCAGGCAAAGCCCATATTGCTATGAATTAAACTTCTACCTATCAGGCCAAGGTTAAGAAATTCTAAAATGTCAGGATATGGCGAATCTGATTTTATCTTAACTTTTAAAACTCTTAAATTATACTATGTAAATTGTATTAACAAAAGAGTAATGGGAGAAAGTAGAATGTCCATGACAGTCTTTTCCCATCCTTATTAGTGTAGGTGAAATTTAGAAGTATTGAGCAGTTGAAATATTTCCTGTAACGATAAATCAGCAAGTATTGTAAAAAACTAATCTTCCTCATGCCTTTTGTAGTTCAACTGATTTCTCAGTTCAGTTCCTAGAAGCATTAATCATATTTTTGTTTTACATTTTAAAATTTATTAGTACAATTTGTAGTGCATGTTTCCTTTCCTTGTATGGAGTTGGTACATGTGCATACCTTAATTTCTTTTTTCAATCCCCTCTTCCTTAGAACTTTTTTTTTTGGTGCCAGGGATCAAACTTGGGTCCTTGCACTTGCAAGGTAGGCGGTAGCACCACAAAGCTGAATTTCTAGCCCTTCAATCTTCTCTTCCTTTCCTCCCTCCATCTCTTGATTCCCTTCCCATTTCAGAAAGTTCTATTTCCCTACTTCCTGTTTTGTTTTGGTACCGGGGATGGAACTCAGACTTTGTGCTTGTGAGGCAGGCAGCAGCACCACTGAGCTAAATCCCTGGCTCCTCCCCCTTCTTCCTGTCATCTAATGGTTCAAATGGTTTGCTCCTAAAGAAGCAAATATTACATTCAGCCACATTTTTCATCAGGTGTAACTAACATAACATTTTGGTGTGCAAACACATCTGACTGAGGTCTTTCTAATTAGAGGGCTCTTAAGCAGAACTAGGTTACTGCTTTCATTTCTTAAAATACAGATCTTTTTAATATTTTTATAGTATAAAATATATAAACTTGGTTTTTAATGTCTTGGCAAATATATGCTTTACTACTTTATTAATCCCAGTCTCCAAATTTAAAGTCCAAATGATAATTAGAGGAAAAAAGCCCTAAAATATGAAATGAGATATTACCAAATCTGGACTACTAATGTTACTCTGATGTCATCTGCCTGGCAGGTTCACAGTTACATGGCTCTACAAAACCTCAAAGCAGGGGTGGATCAGTCTCTAGAACCAGACGAGGACCATGGAGCAAATGAGAAGAATCTATGAGGCTACAGCAAACACGTGAGATATCATGAATCAGTGTTCAGTCACTGAGGGAGTAGACCTTGAGTCTTGACAAGATCAGCTTGAGTGTATCTTCATGAAGTTATTTTGGTACAACTGACTAAGGAAAACTGAGAATATATATGCCAAAGACTGCATGGGTATGGTCTCCATCTCCAACTACTGTCTTCCTTCAGCATAAGTTACCTCTTCCACTGGATAGTGAAGACTGTACCCCAGATGTAACAATGAATGATTACCTCCAATCACTGCTCATGTTGTCTGTTAACAGTTCAACTATTACAGGATTTATGAGATTACATAAACACAAAAAGCAGCAAATGCCTGATAATAGTATCACTGGCTTCAGAACACTTCAGCTAGTATTAATTTCTGGAGAGCTATACTTAATTCAATTGGACTCATTTTTAGGAGATAGTGTTATCAAAATTTTCACCTAATTATGAAATGTCATTCTTAAAGCTTTCACTTTAGCTGTCCAATCCTATCACCAAAATGAAATGGAAGGATTGAGTAAAGACATAAGCATTGGTATAAGTAATCCAAGGAATTAAATTGTGTTTTTTAGATTGGATAACTCAACCTTACATAATCCTGCTTGATATCAGGTTATGCTTTTTTAAAGTACTCTACTCAGCATTTTTCCCAAAAAATATTTAACTCACCTTAACAGATCTTCTGCTGAAGCCCTAAAAGTTATACTATTAAAAATTTTGTAGAATTTACGTTTTGAGCCATAAAGGTACAATTCCTTAAAAAATTTAGGAAATTATGGCAATTAGCCCAGTATAAACATACCTAAGAGCAATAGGAATACAGAGGTTTGGCATTCTTGATTTTTATTGTGAAACTCACAAATGTAGCAATGCTTTAAATGTGGATTATTTTATCTAAATTTCACTGAATGTTAACCTTAACTATCATACCAGGTTTAAATATTGTTAATTTGCAGAGTATATAAATTGAAATGATCATAAACTGAGGTGACTTTTAAATTATACCAGTGTTCTAATGCTGTATCATATGAAGACAAGCTTCAAACCTACACTATATTTTTAATACAATTAAAGAGTATTTTTAACTTTTTCTTAACTACAAACTGAAAATGTATCGTGCTTCTGATAAATTATGATATATAATGTTGAATGACAAGAGAAAGCTTTCATGCGTTATTGTATATTGACTATCATAGTCTACAAACTGATGATTTTATTTAAAAAGTCCTTTAAAAAAGGATATATATGGCGGGAGATTTAGCTCAGTGGTTCCGCCGCTGCCTGCCTCACAAGCACAAGGTCCCAAGTTCAATCCCCGGTACCAAAAAAAAAAAAAAAAAAAAAAAAAAAAAAAAATATTAAAAA